CTTATCTACCGTACAGACTACAAAACGAAAAAGTATGATATTGCGTTTAACTGAACGAATATATTTTATATCCATTCTAGGTATAGAACCCTACAAAAAAAATGAAATCCACCAATCACAGTTCATATTTTGGACACCCAACTACTATTATTATTAACACGCTTTTATTAGCTTCACATGTATGTATGTTTGCATAGTCCATCCAAACAATAAGTCAACTATAAAGGAATACCGCAAACGCAAAAAAAGTTCGGCACCTGTTTGAATAATTCGAAAAAAAAATTGGTATAGGGAACGGGTTGCTTGTCGGAAGTCAGCTAAACTAACTCTTTGATAGACCGCCCCATAGACGGAGATATATGTTTTTACTTGAAATTTTATTTAATAATTTAATTATATGTACGTATTATAGGTATGTTTCTTTCGATTTGAAGACTTAAAATTAGATATATACATATATACCTAATTAGAATAAAATAAGTAGGATTTATAACTGATGTTTTCCTTCAACGATTGCAGTGTTTTAGATAAAATTTTGCATTTTTTCTCCAAGAAGCTTTGTCGGTATACTGCCTCTGTAAGTATATTGTTTTTGGCGGTGTATCGCCTTTGACGGCTATTGCCTTTGTCGGCATATTGTCTTTGTCGGCATATTGTCTGTCGGCATATTGTCTTTGTCCATTTAAAGAGCCGAATTTTTAACCAATGCCGAAAAGGAAAATGAAACGTATTTGAATAAAAATAATTATTTTTACTTTCAGTGGAGTTTTGTTCATCTTAGTGACCTGTTGAGTTTTGTACGGATAAAAGCTCCTGCATCGTACTTTTTAAAATTTTATAGAATATTAGTTTCTGTTTTATTAGTGTTTAGTTTCGTTTTATCATAATCAGTTTGTATTTTGGAGTTTATATAGTAATTTTAATAGATGAATAATATTTTTTGTGTATGTGTTATTAACTATGTGGAGACCGTGGGATAGTATTCCGAGCACCAGTTTTGTTTAAATGTTTATAAAAATTTGTTAAAACGTGGATATATCGAAAACACTTCTACCGTTCAAGAAGCAGCGTTTCTTACTGGTATATCAGTTTATAAAATGAACCAAATGATAAAAAATGGAATTTCCAGCAGAAAAGTCCGTGAAGACAAAGGTGTGCAAAAAAAATTAGATCCAGCCATGGCCAAATCCATTGTGAATACAGTGTATGAACTTTATAAACAAAATACCATTCCCACTCTTGATATTATACATAGACGCTTAAGTGAAACTTATTTCGATACAATTATAAAAAAGTCTACATTGTATAATTGGCTAAAAAAAAATCGGTTTTAAATACAAAACGATAAATAAAAGAAGCGCAGTTATGGAAACAAGACGAATAGTAAACTGGAGAAATGCTTATTTACAGAAAATTCGTGAATATAAAAAAGCGTCGGGCGCTTTGTCCATATTTCTCGTACATCGAGCGCCCGACGCTTTTTTCACAATAATACTAGTATTTTCCATTTATTATTGTTTTAAGCTTATTTTAAAAATTATTTTTAACTTTTTAGTTTGATATGCTCTAAAAGCGTGTTTTTTAGTTTTTTTAAACTATATTTATTATAATTTTAAATAAGGTGTATGATTGCAACTATGAAAGTCGCAACCCCTCTTAGAAATATCACCTTTACAATCAGCAGCTGTTGTTTGACAGATCGTTGGAGAATGTTTGCAATGTATGGAATGTTAGGAATCTTAGGAATGCATAAAATTAGTCACATTAGAAATGCATGGGAGGATTTTAAAAAAATTAATATTAAAGTAGTTAGGATGAACCGAAACTTCTGAAAATCAATAGGGTTCTAAGTTAGAAGCAATTATTCAAGAAAATTAAAACCGCCAGTCAATCAGAACTTTCGTTCTCGAGTTATCGTGCCGGCATACATACACACAGATGACCAGGGACCGTATTCTTGAGTCGTAGGAACGGCGTTCCTATAGGAATAGAGGGAGTGTTTCTCCTGAAATTCGCTAAGCCCGTATTCTTGTCATAGGAACGTTCACTTCCTACGAAAGTCGTAGGAACATCGTTCTACTGGTATTTCGTAGGAGAACGCCGTGTTCTCTCAAGAATTATTAGTAAACGCATGCGGAGTAGCTGATTTATTATTTTTGGCCCGTAATTAAGTAATTTTTTTAACTTTTTTCATATTCGTACATTTCGTATTTTTATATTTTTAATAAAATCATTATTGATAACAATAGAGTGAATAATTTATTAGCATAAGTAAAATATTATTTGGTATCTCATCCACAAAAATCAATTATTGTAATTCTAATAAGTGCATGGGAATTGTAAATTAGGGAAAATCCCAAAATCCTAATAAATAAGGGTCGTACTATTTAGTAGGTATTTAGTACCATTTAAGCTATATTTATTGCCTAAAATGGGAATACAAATTATGAAAAATCCCAAAATTGATATTAGTGTTCAGTGTTAAGAAGTTTATAAATTATCTTCTACAACAAATATCTTTACTGAAAGCAAATTGTATGGTTTTGTTTTGCAAAAATAATTACAAAATTAGAAAAACACAAAGAATAACTGTTAAAAATATCAACTCGATAGAAAAATTCTCCATTACAAAATTATAAAAACACAAAGAATGATTGTTAAAAATGTTAATTTAATCCCATTAAACTGAGAAAGTGATATTTGAAAAGTTGAAATAAAATATAAGTATTGACAATAATCTAGTTAAGCTACAGTTAGTTAAAGTAGGTAGCACGGAGGAAGGATAATTAAGAGTTGCAGATTCCGTAAGTAGCAAACAAAAGTTATAAAATTTTTTTAGAAATAAATTATAACCATTTATACAATAAGTTAGTTGAAAATATTTCAAATTTCTATGAGGCGGTCACTCCAGTTTATATAATTAGTCTAATCTATATAGTTGTAAACATATGTATTGAATTTTCTTTACCGAATTTTTATTAATAAAATTATTTATTTGATATTAATACAAACTTACTTTTCTTTAGCACAAAATTTAAAACAAAATCGACTACCTATACTATAAATTTCCGGTTTGCAAATTTAATTTTTAATTAAGTATTTTAAAAAATTGATATCTGTAATGGCTGTACGTTTTTGTTTTCCCTCCACAGATTTCCCTCTTCTATGCTTTTAATAAAAAAATATATATTTTTATCATATTTATAGAAAACTCGTACGAAACGACCTCTTAATTTCTAATTCATAATTAATATTCTTCAAATATGTCAAATTCAATACGGATAGGTGACAATTTTAATATTTTCTTCTTTTATTATCACAAAATAGTTCAAATGTCTACAAAAATCAAGAAAAAGAAGATATTAGAGTTGGCAACACCGTGCACTTTATTCCCCCGTTTGATCACGTTCACCGTGTTTCGAGAATACGGCCACTTCGAGAGAAACACTGTAGGATGTAATCGTTCACCTCCCCTATAGGAACGCTCACATCGTCCAAGCTCGAGAATCGACGCACAGACGAAAAATTTTTTTTTCATTTTCGGACTCAGAATAATCGGAAACGTGAAAAAAAGTCTAAAAATATGGGGATAAGAAAATTTTTTCGTCTGCACGAATTCAATACTGAGGCCCCATAGGAAGGGCCTCAGTAATAATTTTGTTTAAATAATGAAAATACTTATTTATTGCTAAATAAAGCACAGACAATATTGTTGTATTTATTTCTAAATAAGTCTTGCATATTTTAATTGATAAATTATTTAATTTTATCTATATATAATGCAAATTAGATATGATCAAATTCGAAAAGGTTTGTTAAATTTGATAAGTAAAATTTTGTGGCAATTTTTTTTTGAATTATACCTAAATATAATTTTAAGAGCAAAATAAAACACAGTTAACAGATTTTTTATGATTATAATAATACAAGTATTAAGGGAAATTGCAAAATATACAAGGTATTGCCTCATCCTTTAAATTTGGCCTTCCTCTTTTTATTTTGCTAACAGTACCATCAGTAAAAATAGTCTTATATTGCGGGTGATCTGGCAAAAACTCCTATCTGACGTGATCTTTACTTTACAGGACGCAATAAAAACGATATAACATACAAGTGACTTTACATTGAAAGTTCAAATATGAAAGTAATATTAAAGAATTATTAGCTCACAATATTTTTTTCCAGATGGGTGATTTTGTCGAAACATGCGCTGAAGCTTTTAGAACGTAGTGCAGCATAAATCGCAATTTTGAAGAAATTGTCAGATAAGAGCTTTTGTCATATCACCCGCGATATTCGGAAATATTTTCTAAAAAGTGTAGCTCGCAAACATCTTTATACAATGCTTTATTAGCCCTAGGAATAACATTCTACCATTTTTCTAAACGTAATCCTATAAAAATAATTTACAATGACAAAATTTGGGGTCAACAAAAAAATAGTAGTAACAACTATTCATCTAACATTAAAACTCTAAAAAAAAATAATTTTCTTTTCTATTAAGTTACATTTGTTATATTTGTTTGTAAGTCAGGATTTATGACTGAAATTTTATATTATAGAAATTTGTAATAGAATTAATTACACTCCGTAAGATACGGGTTGTGACTAGTTTACAATAAATATTATATTCAGAAATAAATACAATATTTTACTTTTACTAGAAGATTTAAAAAACTTTGAATTGATTTCTCTTTTGTTTTCTTTAGTTTTACATCTTATTTATATTCAGTTTTATAACCTGGAATGATGTAAATCTTGCTTTGAAATTTTTTGTCACTCATGTTACTTGTACTCAGGTACTTTTTTCTTATTATTTTGATTTTTGCACCAATTTTTATATTAACTTTTACATAAAAAATAAACGTCACTAACGTTCGACCCGCCAATACAGTCAATTTGGCGAACTTTATAAAAAGTAGGACGAAAATTTGAAATTTGACCTTCTTCTCTCTAGTCTTTATAATTAAGAAATTAACACAAATGTCAACATTGTTAATTGTAAAGCCAACTGGCCAACAGATTCGAATAAAATTACTGATTTCAGAAGCCCCCTCTGTACTTCTGTACTTATGCATAAAATTACATTGTTTAGAAACAATAGCCAAACTGAAAATATTTCCAATTAGCATTATCAGACTTAGTTGAAGTGTGAAGAAGTAATGTTTTAGAAAATGTCTCAACCACAATTGGTAAGTTTTTATTTTTATTTATTTTTTTAAATCTTAATATGATATACAGGATGAAAATTTAAAAATGTACATTTTCTGCATCTCATGAACTAAAGATGATTTATTTATTTATTACAATATCCAACATCCTAATTACAGGATAAGGAAAGAAATATTACAAGAATTGGGAATTAACATAAATGATTATTATTATCTATATACATATATAAACTTAAATCTAAATAAACACGAATTTAAACAGACACTGGTGCATCCTGAAAAAACCTACTTTAATAATTACTGCGCAAATTAGTTTGACAGAAAGTTACTTCTAATAGAGCAATAGCAACAGAGCAATAATTAAGAATATCTATATCATCTTCAATTTTCGAATAGTTTAGGATAATTTGAAATAAAGGCGATGCTTTAATATGGTAGTTCTATGTGCTTGTAGATAGAATAGTTGATTTCTTCGGGAATTAACTTTAGGGACGTAAAAGTTTAACATTTCCAAACATGAAATACAATCCACCTTGTTATTTAATAACTTGAACTGAAATATCACTGATTATATTGCTCTTCTTTTTAAAAGACTACATGTATTGAAACGGTTTAATAATAACTTTGAGGAAGTTCTCTTATGGGATAGGTATCATCACTTAAAAGACAAGCTGATTTAAAAAATCTTCGTTGAACTCTTTCCAAATGGTTAATGTATATCGGACTCCAAACGATACTGGCATATTCTAATTTTGACAAAACCAGCGAAGAGAAAAGTGTTTTCATCGTTGAAAAGTCATTGAATAATCTTATATTCCTTATACCGAAACCTAAAATTCGATAAGCAGAAGCAGTTGTTTTTTCAATGTGCGATGTAAACGTTAATTTTGGATCAAAGAAAACTCCAAGATCTTTAATCAGTTCTGGTCGATTTAATGTGGAATTTTGTAGGTTATAATTACATAGTATTGATGGTTCCTTTCTAGTAAATGTCATTACATTACATTTTTTAACATTTAACGGTAACTTATTTCTTTTGCACCGTTCATTTAAGCGGTTAAGATTCTCTTGAAGCAATAGACAATCATTATAACTAGAGATTTCATAAAAAATTTTTAGGTCATCGGCAAACAATAGATTCATGACGCTCAAATTACAAACAATATCATTAATAAAAAGCAGAAATAATAAAGGCCCTAAAACCGAGCCTTACGGGACGCCGGATGTTTGTTTGAAATTCATTGATTGATGCCCTAAGCACTGAACATAAAGGTAACGATCTGATAGATATGACTGTAAAACATTTAATAAGGCGCCATGAAATCCAAGTACTGAAAGTTTACTTATTAGAAGTTTGTGATCAATTCTATCGAATGCTTTAGAGAAGTAAATAACATCAACCTGACTTCTTCTATCCAAAACTTCAGAAATACAATGAGTTATACATATTAGATTAGTTACAGTAGAGCAACTAGCAATAAAACCATGTTGGGTTGGACTGATGATTTGGCGAAACTGAAATGAAAGGAAAGTATGCACAAGTATTTCAAAAACTTTAGAGAAATTGTTTAGAATGGTGACAGGGCGATAGTTTGATATATCATTTTTGCTGCAATTTTTAAAGATTGGACTAACTCTAGCTAACTTCCACATCTTAGGAAATTGTTGAATTTTAAAAAATAAGGTTGAAAATAACAGTAAGAGGTTTGCAAAATACCTGTGCACAGTCTCTCGCCAGAAATGCCGGAACATTATCCGATTCACTTGCTGGCTTAGGTTTCAATTTTTTTAGAGCAGTTAGTACTTAAGCTTCCGTTACTTGGGTAATGTTAACTATATTGTTATAATTTTGGTATTCTAAAGAATCTTTAACAGTATTATCAATTGTTGTATAATTTCCTAAAAAAAATATTGCAAACGAATTCACTATATCTTTAGGTTGATTTAAACGCGTTTTAGAAATTCATAGTGTTGGGTATCGTTGACAGATTAATCTTTCTGAAATTTATAAATGACCAAAAAGTTTTAGGATCAGCCTTAATATTTTCTTCAGAACATTTCACATAATTACAGTAAGCTAACTTAGTTTTAGTTTTAATTTCAGTTCTCAGTTGACTGTAAATAATATAATCTGAATTATATTTAGTAATCTTAAATTTTTTCCAAGCTTTACTTTTTAGTTTAATACGAGGGCCACTGCTAAAGTTCGCGGAATCAAGTACTCCTTGTATTGACAGCGTTCTGCGATTGTCATATTCGTAAAATTTGACGTTTTTCACCTATCATTCAGTTGACAGTTCGATTTCAAACTGCTCGGTTTCGTTTCAACAAAATTTAACTAGAGTAATATTTGTGTGAAAAATGGAAATTTCGAATCGTGACTTCCGAGTGATGATTTTTTATGATTTTCGATACGGTTTAACACTGCAGCAATGTGTGGAAAAACTTAGTTCATTATTTGGGGATGAAGCACCATCCAAAACTATAGTTTACAAATGGTTCGCAGAATTCAAGCGTGGAAGACCAACGATCTTCGCGAAGGTCGTCCATGTACCTCTGATGTCGCGAAAAATATTGATGCTGTGCGTGAAATGATTTTGTTAGATCGGAATTTGACCTATCGTGAGATAGAGGCACCCTTAGGCATTGCAGCGAAACAAATACATACGATTTTGCACGATCATTTGCATGTCAGGAAGCTTTGCAGTCGTTGGATCCCACACAATTGCAAGTGGTGCAAGGAAATGCTAAACAAATTCGAAGGGGGTCGTTCAAATTCGGTATGTAACATCGTAACAGGTGACGAATCTTGGATATATTCATATGAACCTGAAACTAAACAGCAATCGACTGTATGGGTGTTCCAAAATGAACCTAAATCCACCAAAGTGGTGCGTTCACGAAGCGTTTCGAAAAGAATGATTGCTTGTTTCTTCGGAAAAACGGGTTATGTTGCAACTGTTGCATTAGAGGATCGA